TCCTCCTGTGGGGGAGACCCATGGGGATCTTTGAGCTTTGACAGATGCGATATGAGATGTAACGTCTGTAAAGCGACTTCCTCATGCTGGATCGAACCTCAAACAGCAGGTCGTCCAGAGAAAAAAACCTCATTCTCATCCCTCCTCTCCGTGTAGTGGCTCCAGCCTTCTCTACACAAAATGCGAGGAGCCAGGGAACATCCAAACAGCAGACGATTGTCTGGTCTGATATTCCCTGAAAGAGAAACGCAGGAATTCCCTGTGTTTCGGGATGGTGGATATGGAAGTATATACATCATCCTTCAGGTGGAAGTGAACCAGTCGTCCTGGTGAACACATTCCAGCACCTGTTTGATCGTCAGCATGGGAATACTGATAGATCAAGGATGGGTCTCACTCCCCCGTTGGAGAGGCTTCTCTGAGATATGCTGTAATGGTCGTCATGACCGTGCTCTGTAGGAGGCATATCTGAACAGAGGAATGCCGCGAGCTATGCAGTTTATAACCCAATAGGTTAAAACAGCAGGCTTCTGCAGCGAATGACCCACCTCTGGAGTCTCCTCCTGTGGGGGAGACCCATGGGGATCACCGCGTGACCAGCTGATGCGAATGCCAAGCAGCTGCGTCACGGAGAGGGCTGTGCGGGTTTTAGACACGCCGGAGGAGATCTCGCTGCAGTTCCTCCACTCGCTGCCGCAAGAGCGCGCTCTGGTGGCTGAGTTTAATTCCACACCCAGATAAATGAATGTCTGAGAGGGAAGAGGGCAGCTTTTCTCCAAATTCATTATGAAACCCAGGCTTTGACAGATGCGATACGAGATGTAACGTCTGTAAAGCGACTTCCTCAGCTGGATCGAACCCAGCAAACAGTAGGTCGTCCAGAGAAAAAACCTCATTCTCATCCCTCCTCTCTGTGTAGTGGCTCCAGCCTTCTCTACACAAAATGCGAGGAGCCAGGGAATATCCAAACAGCAGACGATTGTCTGGTCTGATATTTCCTAAAAAGAGAAACGCAGGAATTTCCTGTGTTTCGGGATGGTGGGTATGGAAGTATATGCATCATCCTTCAGGTGGAATTGAACCAGTCGTCCTGGTGAACACATTCCAGCACCTGTTTGATCGTCAGCATGGGAATACTGACAGATCAAGGATGGATCTCATCCCCCCTGTCTTTTTCGGGACAAAAAAATAGCGGGAGTAATACCCCTGATTTTCTTCCCCTTGAGGAACCCTGGAAATAGCCTCTTTCAACAGGAGTTCCCGCAGCTCTGCTTGGAGCGCAAGACACTGTTCTTGGGATGACAGGAGTGTTTCCTGTATCCCCTTGAACTGTGGGGGGGGGGGGGGGGGGAGGCGAACTGCAGGGTGTACCCTCTGCTGATCAGCCTGCTCATCTTGAGGCAACCCAAGGTGGATCTGAAGCGAAAGGGCTGTGAGGGAGCCTCCACACGCTGCGTTTCACTCTGGCTCTCATCATGAAGCGTGTAGACGCTCACGGGATGAATGGAGATGTATGCAGTGTTGACCACATGAGGCGTTATAACGGCGCTCATGGGTTTATTATGACCGTGTGTAGGAGACGTATCTCGGACAGAGGAATGCCGCGAGCTCTGCGGTTTATTAACCGATAGGTTAAAACCAGCAGGCTTCTGCAGCGAGCCCTGCTGCCTACTAATCAACAGATTGGTGGCAGCTTTTCGCAAGACACTGTTCTTGGGATGACAGGAGTGTTTCCTGTATCCCATTGAACTGTGGGGGGGGGGGAGGCGAACTGCAGGGTGTACCCTCTGCTGATCAGCCTGCTCATCCATCTGACCATCAGACACACGCGCTGCCACTCTGAGAAATTCTCTGAGAGTGGGCGCACATGGTCGAGATGTGTTGTGGTCGTCTTGGCAACGAGCCACGTCAGAGCCCTTGCCGCCGCTGCCTGTGAGGCAACCCAAGGTGGGCCTGACGCGAAAGGGCTGTGAGGGAGCCTCCACACGTTGCGTTTCACTCTGGCTCTCATCATGAGGCGTGTACACGCTCAGGGGATGAATGGAGACAGTGTTAACCACATGAGGCGTTATAACGGCGCTCATGGATTTATTATGACCGTGTGTAGGAGACGTATCTCGGACAGAGAAATGTCGCGAACTCTGCGGTTTATTAACCGATAGGTTAAAACCAGCAGGTTTCTGCAGCGAGCCCTGCTGCCTACTAATCAACAGATTGGTGGCAGCTGGCTTAGTTTGGCGAACTCTGCAGTTTATTAATCGATAGATTAAAAAAGTGCAGGTTTTTGCAACGAACCCTGCTGGCTACTAACCGATAGGTTATAGACAGCTGGTTTACACAGAGTGGAGGATATGTGAGAAACACTTGATGATACTGATGACTCAGACCAAAAGTTGAAAAATGAACCCATTTTATTAGTCTCACTATCCCCCCCCAACACGTCAACGGCGGCTCTGTTTTTTTGGAGGCTCACGTGGAGCGGATACAGAGCGGGAGTGCCCCCCTCCCCGTTGGCTCACCGCCGAGAGACCCCTCCGTCTCTCGGGTGGCGGGGGAGCGGAGACGCGCGGCGGAGCCCCTGCCGCCGCCGACGGGCGCTGACGCCGCGGTTGCGGTTGGTATCTCTCCGCCTGCCGCCGTGGCCGGGTTGGGCGCTGCGGCTGCTGCGGCTGCTGCGGGTGTTGGTGCCGCCCAGCAGGCTGGAGCCAGCTGATGTGCTGGCGGATGTCGTCCGCCTGTTCCGCAGCCGCCTTCATGGATTCCACCATGGCGTGGAACTGGGGTCCGAACAGCCCGTCCGGGCTGATTGGAGCATCCAGCAGCACTTTTCTGGCCGTTTCCGTAACGGACGCCTGCTGCAGCCAGAGGCGGCGCTGGATTTGCGTCACCCACGCGGCGATTCTGGCCTGGGAGACAGCAACAGACGCACACAGTGTGAGCACCGTGCTGGCAGCCTTGGCGATTTCTTCCGCTTCGTCAGCGGCCAAGGTGGTGGACCGCTCCACCAGCGTCACCACCGAATTGGACAGCAGCGCGATGTTGTTTGCCGCCGCCGACGCCTGAAAGGCACACTGGTGCACCCGGTCGGCCTGGCGGGCAACATACTGGTCTCTGGGGGAGGCCAACGTAGGGCGCCGTCCGGCGATCATGTTGGCCTGCCTTACCCCAAAAAACGCCGTCAGGCCCGGCTCCAGCGAAGGGGTGGCTGGGAATCCCTTGTCTGTAAAACCCTCCACCTTGGTGAGGGGAACAAACGTGGACACCGGGGCCTTGAGAGTCCTCGGGTTTGCCGCCGCCCCCTCCTGGTACGTGGTGGCGGAGAAGGGGACCGCGTGCTCGGCCAAGTCGACACCCTGCTCCGACTCTGTCTCCCCCGTCCGGGGGAGAGGAGGGAGGGGAGAACCATACGGTGAACCGTGGAGGGAGATGGGGTAGGAGTCGTCCGACTCCTGCCCGGCACTCGGCTCCAGGGGCACGTTTCGGCTCCAGGAGGACGAATCGTCCTCCTCGGTCGCAGCAGCGAGAGCGTCCGCTCTACGCTTCCTGTCGGCCGAGGGGAGATAGGCACAGTGCTGGCATGCGATCTGCTGGCTGAGAGCCGCGTACGCGTGCTCTGGCCCCAGACAGAATTCGCATTCAGTGTGCCGATCATAACTAAAAATATATCCGGTTCCACATGAGGGACAATCTCTTACACAATCGTTGCTCATGGTTTCTCGGATATACATCTCAGTGCTTCAGTAACTCGGGGTGCTGAAGAAAAAGAGGGAGCAGGTTGTCGGGTCCCCTTCCTATTTATACCGGAAGGGAGCCCGTGGGTGGGGCCCACCTTGCGGGCGGGCGTGGACTACAAGTGTTTTCAGTGCTGCGCGGGTGCGCAGGGGGATTACCCAATAGCGATAGCCTTAGAGGGCGAAGCCATATACGAAATAGAACACCGCTGTCATCAGGCTGTTCCATGCTCTGCTCAACCTCCCGCCTTCCCAATGGACTCAGTAGTGCCCCCTGCTGCCGTGGAGCATGTGTGAGTGAGCATGTGTGAGTGTGTATGAGCACAACCACGGCGGAATATTACTGCCAAAAGTCACGTGAGTGAGTCACGTGACTTTTGGCAGTAATATTCCGCCGTGAGAAGAAAAAGTTTTGTAGTTGTAAAACAAGTTTTGTACTTGTAAAAAAAAGTGTTGTAGTTGTAAAACAAATTTGTGCACTTGTAAAAAAAAGTTGTGTACTTGTAAAACCTAAGCTGAATTTGTCTCTGAAACATGATTTATTAGAAAAATGTTATGTGTTTGTTTGATAGATACGTTTTTTCTTTGCAAAACTAAATTCATTAGTTTGTAGATGGTGTTTTGTATTTGTAAACCACATTGTGTTTGTTAGTGAATCATAAGGCATTTGTAAAACCTTTTTAGTTTGTTTGTGGAGTTATGGCAGGAAATTAGCTCCATACATTTTATTATTATTACTATTTAGTTTTTCTTTTGTTGTTTTTCCGTTACATTGGAGTATGGCAGGTGAGGCTTTGCCTCCCCTGCCTCCCCTGACTGCACGTCGCTGGTCGGGAGGAAGAAGTTCAGAAAACGGTGTATACTCGCTAGCGTGGACCCAGTGCTGTCAGGAAGTGTTTGTAGATTATTTTTACATGAGTGATTGCGGTCATTGTCAAGCTCACAGACAACCACATTGGATATCCTGTTAACATGTTATGATAAAAGTCAATTGAATGCTTTTAATGTAAAGCTGCAGCATTAGGAAATACCAGTTTTGTATGTATATTATGTATTTTGTCCATAGCACAGAAACATTTCTAAAATAGTAGAGATGGTTAGAGAGAGTAGTTGATGTCATGTAGACGTCCTGTACAATAGGTATCACGCAGGTTCACACTGTCGAATGTTATGCAATATAAAACCTGTACAGAATGCCAGAAGAGATTACTGTGAGGATTATTTGATCCTGGATGTAATGACGGCATTATCCATGTTTATTTTCCACAGTTACCTGGCGGAGCAGTGCTGGAATGGAGGCTGTATCTACCTGATTATGCTGAGGCGAGTTAAGCGAAAGGCCCCCCCCCCTCCCTGTAATGGCAGCATCAGTACTGTGAGCAGTGACAGTTGTGAGGACCAGCAGCAGGCCGGGGGGGGCCCCGGAGCCCCCTGAGGGCCCCGCCAACTGCAAACGCACACGCAAGTTTGGAGTCATATCGAGATCGTCCTTCAGGGGCAGCACGGACTCAGACCTGCAGAGCTGTTACAACGGCTCCTCGGCCCCCCCTGATGCAGGGCTCAGTCCTCCAGGAGAGGACTCAGGGTGCATCCCCCCCCCCCCACACACCCACAGAGGAAAGCCCTGACATCAGAAGTGTTCCTCAGCGGCTCCATAGAGGCACGGCCACGCTGCCGGCACGCTGTCACAGTCAGCTGTTAGAATACAAGATGGACTCCTTCAGCAGCGAGCCGTCAGGCCAGGTAAGGGCTGGGGGGGGCACTTTAAAATGTAATCCGTTACAATAACTCGCTACATGTCAAAAATATAAAAAGTAATATAGCCTGATTACTTTCTGTTACTTTTGTGTTACCTCAATATCAAATGCATTGCAAATCAAAAGTGTTAGAAAATAAATAACAATAAAATGTTTTTAATTAACTGTATGTAACCTCAGAAAAGTAGAAATAAAAAATGTGAAACAGTAATAGTTTACAAATGCTGCTAAGCTTAATACATGAATCAGAAGCATAGACTGTATTTGTGTTTAATAAATCAGGTTTCCACCTATTGCATTATTAAAGAAATGTATTTAAAGTAGCCATAAAGAATATTCATTCAGTATATATCTTTATTTTAAAATGTATTGTGACACTGTAATCCAGATAGTAATCTCAATTTGTTTTTAATGTAACAGTAATCTTATCACCTATTTTTAGAATGTATTTGTAATCGTATTGTTAGTGCAATTTATGGCTCACCAACCTTAAATGTTAACACAGAGAGAGATCAATAAAACACAAACACAGACATGGTTGGGATTAATTATTATTCAGTCGCGCAACAACAATAATAATCTTGGAGTACAACATCTCCTGCCACTGCAGTCAATCGTGGAAATGCCCCACGAATACCAGAAACAGAGGGCAGATATAGGTTTTCCAAATGACACACGAACATTTTCCCTAACCATGTTTAACGCACACACATTGTCAGGTCTCCTAAACTTGGACATGTTCCAGATGTAGAAAGGTCATTATCTCATGACGTCTTTAGGAGTCTTGCAGGATATGAATGATCCAATTAACAAAACCATGTACGTCTGCACATGAACGCACACACTTTTCTTTACATTAACTAACACACCAACATCCTTATCGTTTCTTAGCTAATCAGTGGCGAGCCGTGAGCTTTATACCTAGGCCCTCTGACCCCCACCAATTCCCTCGAAAAAAAGAAAAAAAAATAGTTATTACGTCACAGCGTATACTTCAGCGGAATATCAAAACAACGGCCCAGGGTGCAAAACGCATCAATGACAGCGACCCTCTACCACACAAAACAACACCTGGGAACCCCATTTGTGTTCTTTGACATTGAAAATGATATTGCATTGTGTTTGTTACTTTCGTTTGCAGTTGTATGTCTTAAGTGTAATTTGGCATGCTTTTATTTTGAAGGCGAGTTCACGCTGTTGACAGGAAGTTGTTGTTGCTATGGAAACAAGAAAAGTTTCACAGCGGGCGGAACTTGTCATAAAGTCCGCGATAATAAAACCCACCCATTTAGAGGGAAGATATGATTGGTCAATTGTACTGTCATTTGACATTACTCTCTCGTTCAGTTACTATAGCGGGCCCTCTGTGAATCGCAGAGAGGGCCCGACGAGCTTCTTTCATGTAACCCTTCACATTCAACAGAGACTGAACAGGCAGATTCGAAGGATTTATTTCTTTGGAAATGTTATTTTAAATACAATTAAATCAAGTTTTTTTTCGGTAAAACTAATGAAAAATATAACAAAAATAATATTAAAAAAATATATATTTAAAAAATATATATATTTTTTAAATGTTTTTAAATATTATTTTTTAGAATATCTTAGGCCCTCACAGAGGGCCTAGAGGGCCCTGACGGCTCGCCACTGTAGCTAATGCATTCTGGATATGCATGCTGGATATGAACCACTAACTTAAAGGCCCGGACACACCAAGACGATTTTGGCCGTCGATGGGCGTCAGGCCAACGATGAGCGTCGACACGCCATACTCAGATTGGTGTGTCCCGCACCGTCGTGTCTTTTCAGCCGTGCCGACACCTTTTCGGCCGAAAACCCACCGATTCAACATGTCATGTCGAATCGGTGGGCAGTCGGCCAAAGGCTGTCGGCAAAATAAATCACTCTGATTGGCTGTTCAGCTAGCGAATCAGTGCATGAGAAGCGAAACGGAAGTGAGGGGCCCAAACAAACGATTAAGAAGGCCAATCTGAGATTTCATTTAACTCCAGCTCTCGACACAGGTTGGGGAAAGCCCCATGAGCTTCTCGCTGTAGAGTGAAAATGGAACGCACATGCTATTTGTTGTTTGTTTATATCACGCAGTCTGTTCTTCTTCTCTCGGTTATCACGCAGTCTGTCTTCCGGTTGTTGCCTCTTTTGAATGACGAATACACACTACCGCCGCCTGCTGGTAAGGAGAGTTATTGCCACTCACGCATGCGCAGTTCGTACGTGCTTCTTGGCCGTCGGCTGAAGTCTTTGCGGTGTGTTCCAGTGCGACACATGGCCAAGACACAGAGACACGACGCGACACAACAGTCGGGGGTCCGTCTGTGTCAGTTCTTTGGTGTCAGCTTGGTGTGTCCGGGCCTTTAGACTTTAATTAACTGTATTATATCTGAGGAAGACCTCCCTTGGACTTCCTCTGACCTTTGCCAATTTACTTAAAGGGCCCATGTCATGGCCATTTCCACTGATCATAATTACATTGTTGAGGTATACTAAAATAGATTTATACTGTGCAATTTTCCAAACTCACATTGGTTTCGCATACAGCATCTCTGTCAAGCATGTGTATTCAGCAGTATTCACTTTCTCCACTAAACGACTCGTTGGAGCTCTTGCCCCCCCCTCCCTGTGAGCCTAGTGTGCTCCGATTGGTCAGCTCGGCCACTCGTTCTGATTAGTCAACCACCAGAGAGGCTGCGCCCATGTCAGTGCTTTTCCCGGCTGCTCTCAGCGTAACATCAGTCTTATCATGGCGTCGGTACAGCGGTATATTTTATATACATATATATTTTTAACTGTTGTTATAGAAGAGTGTGACGGCCCCAGGGCCTTTGTCTTACGATGGGGTGGAGCTGAAGAAGCTAATCAGCACGATCACGGACACCTCCGGACACTACGGCCCCAGTCTCTCTCCAAAGCGGCTGCAGGAAGACTAACTCTGCGATCCTCTCAACCACCTATCTTTGCATTTACCACAATAAATGTGCCGTGGTTTTGTAAACTCGTGTATGTCTCCTTGTCTTTCCGTTGTGGCCTACGAGCCGCTCATAACAAAGAGTAAGTTATTTTTACCCGTTATAAACTACTACTGTTTGATGAGAAATCAAATCATGGTTTGCTATATATGAATTCAGGGAAGAAAGGATAGGCCTACTAAGTATTTCCATTAAACTTTATTTTTAGAAATGTACAAAATGAACATAAATATACATATATACACGGTATATCATCCATTCCTCCTCCTCTTGCCTGCGCACAGCCGGTGCGGTGCGGTGCCTTTTAGCACGACGCCTCAGTAGTAGTAGAATCCCTTCCCCGTCATGGATTGTCCGCCAGGATCTGGCTGGACGAAATCAAATGCAAATCACAAAATATTAGAGAAACTTAGTTGTTTTAGATTCGTTAGTAGTAGTTGTGTAATGAACAGCTTGCCTGCTAATATGCTAACCTAGCTTTGTTTACCTTGGTAGCTAACACGATATGAACGTTAGCTTGGAGGAAAGGCAACTATAATGCAGTGTAATAAAACTACTATGAACAAAAGCTAGTGGTTCATATTAGGCTAGCAATAACGTGTTTATAATTGCAATCGTATACGGGTATTCTGCTACCATACAATGTAACTTGCATGAATACATTGTTTTGCGCTAGCATACAGCTAGCCTCGTTAGCTACATGCAGTATATGTACGGTCACAATGTACGGTAAACCGGAGTATACTGTATGAGTATTCCGTGTGTGTGACTGCAGACATTCTCCTGCCATGACAAACATGTAAGGCCATCTGCTGACATTGTAGTTGATATATTTAAACGCTAGCAACGTAGCATCACAAAAATGTTTTTCTGACCAAAACTAGCTCAAGCTCCGTGTGTTAGATCGCTACGCCAGCTATAATGTAATTACGTTTCGCGACTGACCGGCAAATCACCCGCAGTATACTGTCAATAGGTATTTTGTGTGTGAATGCAGACATTCTCCTGCTATGAGATACATGTATGCAAGGCCATCTGCTGATATTAGAGTTGATATATGGAAACTCTAGCAACTTAGTTAGCACAGTTAGCACTGTGTCAATGGCTTAGCAGTCCAACACAGTTTACACATTTAAACAGTCTTGTTTGATAAATACACAAATAACAATGCAAACTTACAGGTTGTATACCCAGATCTTCCCCTGCTCCAAACGGTCCAAACAAGCTGTGCATATCCGGCCTCAAACTGGGCAATGTTTTTGGAAGCTTTCGTCTGTGAAATGCCGGTTCATCGAACCTCTGGAGGAGGAACACGCCACTGCTGGTGTGGCCATAGCTCTTCGGGATTGGTCCATTTCGTTCCGGGTACCGCATGACATCAGGCGGTACCCGGAAGAATCAAATGGGCAGTGACGTATCTCCAACGAGGCGTTTTGGGGAGGTATTTTCTGTGTTAGAGTTTTACTCGCTACAGGGTGTACTTTGAGGGTTTTGACTCTGCACACCGTTTACATGCATAAAAACCTTCATAACACACAAGGGGACGGGTAATAACCGGAAAAGCATGACATGGGAGCTTTAACATGGGTACATCTGCTGATAATTGCGGAAGAGGCAATGGAGCCTCTCTGACCTGTGTTACCTTAATAAATAAGCGAGAAACACGCTGTAATAAGGATTCTGCCATAACAGTTCCTTTTTTTTGGTATCCTGCTTACGTGATCTCTTTACATGTAATCCTTTACCCCCCAAACCGGGGTCAGACCCACTGCTGTCACAGAACTCTGAAGTCAAAGGATTCTATTCTACATTTGTTATTTTGAACAAATCATCTTAAGCAAGGAAAATGAAACGGAAAGTTGAGCAATCAAATGCATTCACTCAAAAATACACAGCTTCGTGTTGGGAGAAAAAAGAGAGGCATGGATATATAAACAGGAGTGCAGTGTGTAGCCGAACTTCATTATGAATTCATTCTATACACAGTATTTAACAGACT